TCCTTGCGCGCGCGAAATCCGACTGCCTCCGGGATCTTTTGGATCTGGCCGACAAAGAAGCGCGCTTGCTCCAGTACGCCAAACAATTCGGGTACAGTTGTAGCTATTGATTAATTTTTTTTCAGAGTCAAATTATCCGCGTCCAAAATTCAAACGAGCTTGCTGGAGGCACGCGACGCGTCCTGGGAGACTTATCTTCACAAAATCAGGGCGATCTCCCACAGCCTTGACAAGTGTGAGCGCCAGGTGCGGGAGCTCCAGACGTCGACATTAGTGAGTAAATCCATTTCGACATGTTGAAGCTCGCTAATGACGAATCCAGCTCATTATCGAAGCCGAGAACCAACGCAAATTGGAGGAGCATATAAACGAGAACAGAGAAATCGTGAACACGGTGCTCCGGTCACCAAGTGAGTACTTGCCAAGGAAATGCAGCGAGCATCTCACAACTGACGGGCGATAATTTAAAGGGCATAATAGAAGGTTCAATCAATCCTCGGGCAGCTTGGAGCTCAATCAGACGATCTACATGTGAGAGTCGCCGATGTGATGCAATTTCATGTCCTAAATTTCCGTCGTGCAGCGTGTAGAATTTGGGGATCCGCCTTATTACTTTCCTGGCTCTCGCACACACTGTCCCCAGTACCCCATGTCTCTGACCCTATTCCAAATTTTTGTTTTCACATTGCTTTGTCCTATTGCTTTGCTCTTTACATCTCCTTCAAATATTCTGTTTCTGTAAATCTCTCGTTGTTCAATGGAAAATCTTATACTATATCTCTGGAACTTTGAGGTTTTATTCACATTCGTAGGAATTCAAGGACGCAGGATCCTATAATGTTTCATCCTGTTTGGTTGTTCTTCTTAGCGCGCAGTGGTCACGTGTGACTTTTGATTTCAACGTTGAACCATGGTTCAACTCCGCTGTATTTAGTAATTAACTTACTCACGTACGTTCACCGGGCTTTCCTCCGTATTACCTTCAAAAGTTGGTGCTGGTGGGTGAGTATCCTAAAATTCATCTATTACGGCAAGCTGCAATTCGAGCGAATGCGCTAATGGGTCTGCCAAGAATCGGCCAACACACCTCGCGATTACATCCAGACTCCGATTCCAGGCGGGTGCGGGCCCAATATTTGAGAATCAGTGTCGAGATTGGGGAGCGCTGGCACCAGCTAATCCCAGGTGGGTCTCTGGTACCGAATTCGATTAATTCTTTACGCGACTTGGCCTGTTTCTCCGCTCGTCGCAACTTGATCAAAGTAGGAATATAGGACCACGCGGTATACCGGTGGGAAGGATTACACAGTCAGACTGAGTGAAGCCAAACTTGATTAGATTCATTGTATGCAGAATATAAAGCACGCACTAGATATGGTTTCATAACCTAAAAATACTTCAGAATTAAACTGATGGAGAAAAAAAAAGGAAGTTGTACGGGCTCAGAGTGTTTCGCTATATCGACTAGAAGTCGGCCGTTGCCGATGGAAAGTTAACCGGCAATAAAGAAGCAGTGACCCATAGTCCCGTTGGGCCAGCCTTCAAGATGGTGTGTTTGCAATCAGCATCTTCAGGACAGTTCAAATCAGTGGATCTTGCAAACGGTGCCACGCGCTATTCAATTTTTCACGTTCTTCCTCAATTCTTCCTGTTGAGCAGCATACCAAAATGCGACCGTTCAGGAGGTCGGAGCATCGCTTGGACTCGCAGAATCTGTCAAGATGGAAGTGGAGATAAGACATCACTAAAATACCTCGGTGCATCTCGTCCCTGCACCACCTCTTGGTTGTTGTACGGTAATTTGCCCTCCACGGGATATCAACACCTTTAAACTGACATGTAAAGGTGCTCCAATCGCCCTCTGGTCCTGAGATGAGCATAAAAGGCCTGAGCGGGGCTCAGACCCACCGACACCGTATTTCTTGCCGACGGGCGCAAACTCTAGAGTCAAGGAGTTGTGGCAGTCCATGACGATACGTCGAACAAGAGAGCTTGAATATTGTGTAGGAGGACCCCCGTTTATGGCTTTGAATATCGAATCCTTGGTTCGGACAAAATTTTCCGAAATTTTAATAATTTCGGACTACAAAACGGCAAAGTGACCGTCTTGCGAAAAGAGCAATTTTGGCCTCCTCAAAAAACGTGGGGAAATAAAATTTGTTCGGACAAACCTCCTGAAGAGGCCGATTTCCGGATCCGACCTCCGAAAATAAACGGGGGTCCTCGTGTAGGCCAGCGTCCATGGTCGAGTCCTATTTATGTGTCTGAGTGTAGAGATTGTAGGAGAGTAGGAGCGGGATCCAAGGACAAATGCGTTGCAATTTATGTAGATACGTGAGTTTAGCATTTTCCCAAGTCCTGTGTTTCGGGCGAGTGCAATAAATTATGCCAATCTAGTATTCTTCATGCAAAGTCAATGGAACTATTTACATCAGGACAATGGAAGAGGTGGAAACTGGGCAACAGCCCGCCATCTTGGAATTCTTCGCCATTCATCGTCGACTGGAGTATGAGACTAATTGGGCTGCCGCAAACAGATCAACGTAAAAATCAGATTGAGGGGGAAGCAGGAAGTGGTGCGTACCGGATACCGCAATTAATAGCTAGTTGAAGGTATTACGGTCGCGCGTTCCAATGTGGATATACATTCCTTGCGACGCCAACGTGCGGAGAGCTGCCATATGCGCAAGGGGAAGAGTTCCGACATCCTCGTACTCCGGCCAGATCAGGCGGAACGACTCGAGTCTCGCACATGAGGTATCCGTGCCCGCTGCAGCATCGATACTTCTGGAGTTTAATGCATCCACGAGGTTAATGTCCACCTGGTATGAAGTGCATTCTGAGTACACAAGAGTCTGGAGCTTTGGAAGAAAATCCTGAGCGTTGCGGCGGTCTAGTGGATGGATTACGTCAGTCGCGTACTGCGGTCCGACGAGCTCGAGAGTTGTGAGATGGATTGTGATATGGAACCATTCAGTGGGGATTGTGGGTGACAGGCCGATAGTAAAGGTCCGCAAGGTGGAAAATGTGCGGCATAAGAACTGGAGAACTGCGGTGTTTAGAGGGCTGGTCCATGAACCGTAGTCGCCTCCGAACTGCAGCGTTTCCAGGCGGGGTAGGGTGAGGAATTGAAGAATATCGTGGTCAGCATCGTCATACGCGCCCACGATGAGAGAGTTCAGGTCGGAGTGACACATGAGCGGCTGCCCGATGATCGACCCTTCCTCTTCCTCCTCGGGACAATCAACGCGACGGAACTCTTCAAGGGACGTAGCCAGTCTCAATACACCTAAACATTCCTGAAGAGCGACCGAGGCGGCAGTGAACTTGGTTAATTGCGACCATGGCATCATCAACCTCGATGGTGCCAGGTGTGCTACTTCGAGGTGACAAAGCAGAGGAGAGTCACTGAAGAATGGGATCTGGGTCCCGTTTGCTTCAAGCGCACCGTCAACAGAAGTGAGACTGAGATGGCGGAGGCGAGGGAATGATCGGATGCCTGCAAGGTCGGAGAAACAGTCTGCATCTAGGCCCAACGTCAAGAACTGCAGACACGATGCATGCCGGCGGATGAGGGAATGCATGCAGGTGGATCGTTTTCCAATGTAAGCGACGTCAAGGGAAAGAGGACGACTCCCGGCACGGCTAAACCAGGTTGTGATCGCATTCTCCATGTTTTGGGGGTCGCTAAACTCTGTGTCGCAGATGGTGTCCCATAGGGCAGGAATCGAGAGAGCGACCTCTCTCCACGCTTTGCATATTTGCAGGAGGAGGAGTGGAGACAGTTCTGGATCAATAGTGCCAATATCGGGTTCAGAACACCAAAGAAAAATCTCGGATGTGATTTCGGGGGGAAGGGTTAGAATGGGATAAACAAAGCGATCGAACTGAACTTGTACGGCCGCTCTCTGCTCCTTGAGCTCCTGTAGAAGACGTTCATGCTGGGATATTGAGATGTCAAGGTCGGAAAGCTGATTTCGGAGGATGTCGAGGAACATCGCTGGAGTGGCAATGAGGGTGAAAGACAAAGAGGCCGGCAATCTCCGCTCAGTTTGGGCGAGTTTGGCAGCGTCATCCACCTTGACCTCAAACCACCACCACCCAGCACGGTCGCTAAGGCAGTTGCGCGCCGTGCACTACGCGCGCCTGCTTACTGTGGCTCTAAGCACCCCACGTAGCATGTATTCGAATCCGAACCGTGACAACGAAACTGATTTTGACCCCGCCGCCTGAAATGTTTCCATGTTCTGACCTTGGGTTCATCGGGCATACGATGGATTTGTCTTGCGCTTTGTGGTACGTATACTCTTCATGCCATAATACCCGCTAAGCAGCCCGTGATAAAAAATTGGATATCGCGTATCACAAACGGACACGGGGCCGTTGAGCTGCCTGCACTTGACAATAAAAATCTTTACACTAGAGGCAGCGGTGCGCCGTGCACCACGTCCGCTTGATGCCTCCCTTTTTACCCTCTTCTCGTCTGAGATTTTGGAAGCCATTGAGAGGTCCAAAGAAAGTCAAATGCGGACGCGGGGAGTCGAACCCCTTCAACTGCTTGAAGTTCCTAACCATGTCGCCTGCCGAATTGAAAGCAGTGGTGCACCGTGCACTACGTCCGCTTCCTCCCTTCCTTTTAGCCCTCTTCTCATCTTGGCTTTTTGCCCACGAGAGAAAAAAGCTGGAGGGAGCCTCGAGAAGGCGGACACAGGGAGTCGAACCCCGTTTTTGCTGCTCAAAACTTCTCAGCGGATGAAATTGAGGCAGTCGTGCACTGTGCACCACGTCTGCTTCTTACCTCCGTTCCCGCCCTCTTCAAGTAGCATGCTTTCGAATCCGAACCGTGAGAAAAATGTCCCGCAGGGAACCTAGACGACTCTTGGTTTAGAATACAAGGGAGTATAATGGATGTATGTGTGTTCATTATATTTTCCCTCTCCAGATTTAAAGGCTTTAGAATCAGCCGAAGACAATAAAAAAAAACAGCAAAGAACGGATAGCGCGGACGCGGGGACTCGAACCCCGTTGTACTGCTCTTACACCTATCGTACTCAAATTATAGAATGCAGCGGTGCGCCGTGCACCACATCCGCTTCCTAGCTCCCATTTAGTACTCTTCTCATTCAAGCGCTTGCAGACATTTGAGAATAAAAACATGGAGACCGAGCAAGGCGGACGCGGGGAGTCGAACCCCGGGATACTGAACTAAATTGAAGCAGTGGTGCGCCGTTGATTGATTGATTGATTGATTGATTGAAGTTCATTTGGGTTACTGTATGTAGCCGGTAAGGCGAGGACAGCAGTACGGTAAGTGGTGTTGTACGGTAAATGTGGTGGGGTTGTATGGTGCTAAGTAGGAGAGAGTGAAAAGAGAGGAGTAAACATAAGGTGGGGAAATATTTGCGTAACGATTCGATTCGAGTGGTGGGAGGGCGCGGGTGGGGTTTGGGAGGATTCCGAGACGGTGGTTGAACGGTTTGTGAGGAGTATTAGGCGGTATAATGTAGGTAGAGAGCGAGGGGAAATGAGAAACGAGAAATGAGAGCAGGAAACCGAAACTTCACAACTAATGGTCCGAAGATGGGGGTCCGGGCGGGGGGCTAGGCCGTGCGAACCGTTCCGTGTCTTCGATGAATTTCGCCATGCTCGAAAGCAATTTAGGGTGGGTGAGAAGGGGGGAGAGATGGAGCGATCCGAAGAATCCGAGGTCCCTGCACGCCTTGTGGAGCGGTTGGCGAAATGGCTCCCAAATAGGGCATTCCAACAGGTAGTGCGCGCGGGTCTCAAACGGAGCACCACACGCCTCGCACGCCGGTGAATCGACCAGTCCCGTCTTATGGCGATGGGCGTTGAGGAAAGAAAACCCCGTTCGGAGCTGAGCGATCGATGACGAGGCTTTGCGGGGGAGGGTGGGAGACGAGTATAGGCGTATGGGGATGAGGGAGGGGGGGGACTTGTCGAGGTATCGCAGATCGTTGCCGACTTTGGTTAACCTCCAGCGTGCATCCCAGGCGCAAAGAGTCTGGAGTAGTATCTTGCGACGGACAGAAGTGAGCGAAACAGGGTTATTGGGGTCCGGGTCCCGTTCCGATGCCTCCTTCGCCGCTTCGTCTGCCATCTCGTTGCCCGCCGTGCCGATATGAGTTGGAGTCCATAAGTTGAGGATGGTGAGATGGGGGCGAGTGCGGAGCGCTTGCCGGACGAGGATGGCATAGCGGATAGTGCGGAATTGGCCAGAACGGGGTTTGGTGGAGAGGATGCCCCGCAACGCCGCTTGGGAGTCTGCGACGCACATGATGCAGTGGCACTCGTCGCGGAGCGCCTTCGTGGTAGCGCACAAGATGCCTTCCATCTCGCCCTCACACACCTGTCCGTCCCCGAGCGGCACATGTAGGTGTTCCATCTCCACCCCGTCTTCGACTCGTACCGCTGCTCCACCCGCGCGCCCATCAAGGAGAGAGCCGTCGGTAAACCAGGTCGAGGTACGGCGACGCTCGTCGGCGAGAGCGACCCCCAGCGCGCCGAGCGCGCCCTCTTTAGGCAGGATGACCGTGGTGACCGGGAGCGGGGTGGTCCAAGGGGCGGCGTAAATCGGAACTATCGGCTCCATCCCGAGGGTAGAGTCGAAAGCCTGAGAGGGGCATTCATTCGCACCGACGACGCGAGGAACGCACTACGTCTGCTTCATACCTCCCTCTCAGCCCTCCCCACATCCATGATACTTGAGGGGGAAAAAGGTGGGAAAGGAAGAAACAAAGCGGACGCGGAGAGTCGAACCCCTTGAACCGCTTGCAATCTTTCGCTCGACCGCTCAAGAAATGCAGCGGTGCACCGTGCACTACATCCGCTTCCTGACTCCCTTCTTACCCTCCTCTCATCCAAGGCTTTTTGCCCGCGAGAGAAAAAAACTGGAAGCTGGAAAGTATCATGCGGACGTGGGGAGTCGAACCCCGTTTGACTGCTTCAACTACGTCTAATTCCAAAGGAATGCAGTAGTGCGCCGTACACTACGTCCGCTTCTTACCTCCACTCCTTCCCTCTTCTCATGCAGGTTTTTGACCTGCACAAAATCAAATCCGAACCGTGAGAACAAATGCCTGCCAGCCAGATGCGGGCACCTAGCCTTTTTAACAGGTTCATATCCAGGTTGGTTGCTGAATATGACAGACTCGCCATGCAGCTTCTATTTTAACCCTCCATATTGGCGTGTTTTGGAAGCACGTAAAAAAAAAATTGATCCGATAAGATGTTCATGCGGACGCGGGGAGTCGAACCCCGTGCAACTGCTTACAATTTCAACCTCGTTCAGATGCTGCAGTGGTGCACCGCGCACCACGTCCGCTTCCTACCTCCCTGCCTTGCCTCTTCTTACGCAAGCTTTTTGGATATTTCGAACACAATAAAAAGACAAAGGCCCAAGAACATGCGGACGCGGGGAGTCGAACCCCCCGTGTTTCTGCTTCAACTGCAGGAAGACATCAATAACTGAAGGCAGGGGTGCACCGTGCACTACGTCCGCGTATAACACCCTGTTTTGCACTTGGGTTTAACAAGCTTCGAGCAAAAAAAAAAGCGTTGCAAAGCATGGGCGAAGGCGGACGCGGGGAGTCGAACCCCGTTGGACTGCTTCAACACTGCCGGTATCTGCTGGGGAATTGAATGCAGTGGTACGCCGTGCACCACGTCCGCTTTCTCTCTGTCTTATTCCCCTCCTCTTACCCTCTTCTCACAGGCCTGGATAATAAAAAAGTGGACTGAAAGACATGGACCATGCGGACGCGGGGAGTCGAACCCCTTCAATTGCTTGACGTAGAATATAAATTCAGCATGAAATGAATGCAGTGGTGCACCGTGCACCACGTCCGCTTCCTACCTCCCTGCCTTGCCTCTTCCCATCGCAGCTTTTCAGCATTTTCAAAATAAAAACTCTAAGAGCATGATCTATGCGGATGCGGGGAGTCGAACCCCGTTGGACTGCTTACAAGGTCTTTGTGGCCATTGGGACTGTATGCAGTGGTGCGCCGTGCACCACGTCCGCTTTCTACCTCTCTTCCTATCCACTTCTCATCCAAGGCTTTTTGCCCGCGAGAGAAAAAAAACTGGAAGCTGAAAGGACCAGGCGGACGCGGGGAGTCGAACCCCGGATTACTGCTTACAATTTCAACCTCGTACAAATTCTGCAGTGATGCGCCGTGCACTACGTCTGCTTCCTACCTCTGCTCCTTGCCTCACTAATATCCGCTGTTTCCAGCGAGAGAAAAAAAAGGTGAGGACCACAGCCGAAGGCGGACGCGGGAGTCGAACCCCTTCAATTGCTTACATGCTCAAAATCATCAATCACAGAATGCAGCGGTGCGCCGTGCACCACGTCCGCTTCCTAACTCCCTGCCTTGCCTCTTCTTACGCAAGCTTTTTGGATATTCCGAGCCAAAAGAAGAAAAAAAAACGCCAAGGCCCAGGAAGATGCGGACACGGGGAGTCGAACCCCATCAACTGCCTGTTAGAATTTGCCAGTGATTCAAGGAATGCAGTGGTGCACCGTGCACTACGTCCGCTTCATAGCTCTGTTCTGCACTTAGATTTATGCGGGTTTTTAGCAGTCCGTGATAAAAAACAGCTGGTTGATCCAGAATGTGGACGCGGGGAATCGAACCCCTTCAACTGCGTACACTCTCAAAATCAATAAGCACACAAAATTGCAGTGGTGCGCAGTGCACCACGTCCGCTTATTACCTCTGTTCTGCACCTGGGTTTATGAGGGGTTTTGGAGCGCTTTTTTTCTGATAAAACACACACAGGGAATCGGAGAATTCTGGATTTTTCACCGCTCGTCAGTCTTGATTCCGAACAAGAAATCTTTCGAAGGAACGAAATGAAATCAGGCTCGAATGAGAATTCTCGCCTCCGTATTTATTTTGCGTTTGAATGAATACAAAAGAAAGAGCAGTCGCCTCTCGGGTCCGCGGTGGATGGAACCTTCCAACGAATATTCCTGAGGGAAGCTCGAGAAGAGGGCGGTGTCTCCGTCGATCGAATCTCACAGCCTTGTCGAGGTGTGCAATACATCTAAAATCTATTACGATGCGGCGCCGTGCAAAATGCTCGAATAATAATAATGATAAAGTCGGAAGGCGACAGGGCTGGTGGGAAGGGGAAGAATGGGAGGTGGGCAGGAAGGGGCACGCACGGTGGCGGCGGCGCGCGCAGGCGCGATTCGGGCGTGGGATTTCTGCGTTGGGAAGGGAAGGGAGGCAGCGGTAAGTAATGTGCGCAGCAGAAGGGGCAGATGCAGCAGGTGGGTGAAGGAGTAGATGCAGGAGGCCGGTCCTGGCCGGGCTGGATGTGAATTCAAATGGAGGACTGGGGCTGGATCTGGGCCCAGCAGCTGTCGCCTGGCCGTCCGTCGTCGTATATAATGACGACCAGCGACCGAAGGCACGCTGTAATTATGGGAATAATGAAATGATCGGGCAGCACCACCGACGTCGGGGTTGCATTGCTATTCAGACGCGGCTGGGCACGTCACTCTGCTGACCGACCGATGATCCCGTCCCCGGGCACCGGCGACTCGACGTAAGTCGCCGGAGCTCTCCCGCGAACGAACGAGCGAGCGTCAATGGAATGGGCCGATGGGAAAAAGAGTTTTAAGCTCTGCTCGGCCACATCGAAGTCTGCTCTAATCTTGCTCGGGTGTCCGTAAGTGAATTAGCATGGCCTCGGGGAGTTGATTACGCGGTGGGTGGCCGGAGCCTGCAAGCAATAGATTCACTGCGTCGTAGATCTGTGGTAAGTACATCTGGATCTGTGGCCGCGGATCAAATTTGCAAATGAATAAATAATCCAATTAGCCTCCTTTGAGCCTCCTCGCCAACCTCAGCCCAAACTCACCCAGCTCCGCTAAATAACGCTCTGTATTCCTCTTCATTTTCGTTCACATTTTATTCGCTGCGCTGGGATGGGCGACTTCAAGTTGTACGTCGACATAGAGTACCCCCACATCAAGTACACCACCGCGGACGACGGCGGGCTGCCGGCGTGGGCGTTTGACGCGCCGCTCCCGCCGCCGCGCATGACCCTCGCGGGCAGCCTCGAC